GCACTTCTGCCACATGGCGTACCAAAGAATGTGCTTTAAAGGCGAGCCAAACGACTCGGTGTATGTAAAAAATCACGACGTTACGAAAAAAAAAGAAAAAAAAAAGAAAACAGCTGGGTTACAGAAGGCGCATTCTTTCCGACGTTTTAAGTTTTAAGGACATTTCTGCTGTACCTGACGTAGGATAGATAAAATGAAAGACGCTTACAATTCCCTGTAATGCGAATTAGAGCGCAGCTTTTGAGGAGGAGGAGGAGAGGGTACGGAGGGGAGAGTATTCCCCTCCTCCTCCTCTGCGTCTCCTCCTCGCCATCCTTGTCCCTTTCCTCCTCCCTTCTCCCTTGTGACCCTCGTGACGTCGTACGTGACGTCACATGTGACGTCATGCGTCCCATAATGCAACGCGCGGTTACGCCGACGGCGACGCAGCTCAAGCCGGAAACGAGCGCCGAAGAACTGCACTCTAAAAGGGAACAAGCAGGTCGGAGAGCAGCACTGTTTTCACGACATCTCCCTGCAAGGCAAAGCTGATGTTGGCAAAAGCAACTAAGTGCTGACGTTACACTGCCCCCCAAAAAAGAGTAAAATGAAAGAAAACAATTTTTAGTGTCCGAGTGTTCTGTAGACTGTGCGATGCACACCACAGGAGGCAGGCGGTGCTTGTTATGCAAAGAAATTCGGAGACGAGCATGGATCGAGTGCATGGAGTGCAAGGAGTTGGCTCATGAAGAGTGCGTTGAACCTCACACAATGCGTTTCAAGTGTTTGTATTGGAAGAACTGAACGCATATTAGTTTATTTAATTTTTTTTTATTATACCCAACTACGTTGTATCATTTCGTCCCGTAGGGTGGGGCGAAATTATACATTGTGTTACTTTCAGATATTGTAGTTTAACCTAATGTTTCGCTTGCTCCACCTAAGTAATAGTTAGTGAGCTTAGAGTCGAGACATCTAAGAATATCCCTTGTGCTGTGTTTTTACATATTGAGGCAAAAAAAAAAATTATTATTGAAATGAAAATGTTTTGTCTCATTTTGCCCCGCCTCCCCTACTTATCTTCCCCAAATACCATGTGATCTCGCCATCCCAAACTGGTCAACTCAAGGCACAAAGCACCCTTCTCAATATGCCATGAGTTTAGCGTTTTTTTAAAACTATTTTGTTATCCCGACAGTCGATTGTCTGTAAAATCAAGACCAACTTAGCAATTGCCTTGTAATAAAATTCGATACGTGCAAAGTGAATTATACCGTCTTATATCCTTTTTGAAACACACTGAACTTGCGAAAATATTTTCTAAGTGCCTTTATGAAACACGTACTGGACAAAATAGAGTTCCTCAACTAAGTTCTTTAACCTAATAATTACGCCGTGAGACCTAATTGAGCAGTTCCAATATATGATTTAATTTTGAGCATAAAGTAATCAAAATTAGAAGTTCATTTCGGATTAACTCCTCACCCAAAATCAGACACGCTATTTATGTATATATATATATATATATATATATATATATATATATATATATATAAAGAGAGAGAGAGAGGTTTGTTAATTTTGGTGACGTTTATTCTTTGGCCTAACACTTAATATTGTGTTTCTTGAGGGAAAGGTGAGAGGGGGTTCAGTTCCCTCTTAAGAACTGTACAAAAACATTGACAGTTCTTCTTCAAGTTCGTTTCTGGCATTCATCGGGGTTACACCATTCAATGACCCCATAAAGGCTAACTGTTCCTTAAAAAAAATAAGATAAAGAAGGAGAACCCAAACATTGGACGAATGCAACTGGGGCCTCTTAGCGATCCGTCATCTGAGTGACAGGAAAAGACCACGGCACTTCGACACGTCACTTTAAACCCGGTGCCATTGACGAGGCGAGAGGGGACATAGCGAACGTCCCGTCAATCGACATAACGCGACGTGTCGCCAAGGTGTCGGTCTTTGAAGGTAAAGAAAAACTCTGAGGTACCCCTCCCCCTCCCCCTTCTTTTTCAGAAAGATTGACGTATTGGAGACGGCCTTTAAACACTAACCTCATTCAAGGTGGAAATATTTCTTTTAGGTCAGGGAACTCCGTAACGGGGAATCAAACTGGTGAGTGGTTCTGGAAGTTTGATTAAACATGTTGAAATAACCTGAGACTGGGGTAGAGAAGAAACATCAAAACGTATACAAGGAAGAAAAAAAAAAATTATTAAACATGTTCAGTACATCGTGATGAGTTGTGTATGCTATGAGCAGGGTAGAAAAAAAAACTGTTTGAAAAATTGAAAAAAATGAAGTAAATCTAAATATTTTGTGTAAATCATATTTTTTATATAAATAAAATCCGCGATCTTAATCACTTCAGCATGAAAAAAGCGAATTTCGTCACTAGCTTTACTCTTTTTTTTTTCTTGTAAATGGCAGTTTTGTATAAATATTTGTTGTTTAATATATTTGTTGTTTAAGAGAGTGTCACGTGCTCAATCGGTGTGTCATACTTATCATCTAAACAATAATCTCCTCGCTTCAGTGTCTGTTTTCAAATATCTTGGTGTTCATGTAACTTGTAACCTTTCTTGGAAGATTCATATTGAATACATAATTAACAGTGCTAACCGTATGTTAGGATACTTAAAAAAGAAATTTTTTCCTCTCTCCGTCTTCATTAAAACTAACCATGTACAAAACCCTAATCCGTCCAAAATTAGAATATGCTGCTGCTGTGTGGGACCCCGCTCACTCGTCACTAATTGCTCATGTTGAATCCATCCAAAACCGCTCAGCTCGTTTTATATTGACAAACTATTATCGCACTGCCAGTTTTACTACCATGAAAAATACTTTAGGTCTGCCGTTACTAACTCACCGCCGAAAAATCTCTCGTTTGTGTCTTTTTTCATTAAATATTTCATCAAAATGTTACCCTTCGTCATAAACTAATTACTCCACCATTCTACGTATATGCTCGCATTGATCATAGCCATAAGGTTGGTATTCCAAATTTTAAAACTTAATTATTTCAATATTCCTTTATGCTACAAACATATATAGACTGGAACCACCTTCCCGCCTCAATTGCTAACATCACTGATATTGCTATGTTTAAAAATGCTATTACTAATAAGTGCACTTTATAGTTAATATTTTACAGCTCTCTCCCCTCTTCAAAGTATTTACTTTGAGGGCATTTGAAATAAATAAATGAAATAAATAAATCTTTATTTTCTTTCTATACAAAATAAATGCCCAGGGAAAGTATAAAATGATAGACAAACGATGAATAGCAAATATTTTGGGGATCTTGAGATGATAGTGTAAGATATAAATCATCGTGATCAAATCGGCGCGACTTAAATCACGATTTAAATCAGGATCGATATTGAGATTTAAATCATTTTGATTTTCATTGTCCCTAGCCCGTGGGACCAACGAAGAAATAAAAATCAGCCAGTAAGGAAGTAGCTAATCTCTTATTGCGGAAGTGTAGAGCCAACGCCACAAACAGAACACAAGACTCAACTGACAGCCACGGAACTCCCGGGACATGATTTTTCGTGATCACTCCCCTTGCTTCGGTATTCGTCCTCTTATTGGCGAATGCGGCAACCTAATTGGCCACGGAGCCATAATGAGATGTCCGAAACATGCCACCCCCCGCCTTTCTAAGCTATCAGCAGTGCCGTAAGCGTTAGCAAACAAAAGTAAAAAAAAAAAAAGAAAATTGACAGTCTTCTTTACTTTAAAGTCCTGCAACGCATGAATCGCATCGTAGGGAAATTGGCGAGAGAATCGGTGTGACACGTGACGTGTATTTTCCGGCTAAATTTAGCTGGGAAACTGAATGTCCGTTTAGGTCACGTGATGTCAGGTCCCGTGACGTCGATTTTCCCCGCTAAATTTAGCGGAGAAACTGGACTGGTGTCTGGGTCTCTCGAAGCACTAGCCGATAAGAACACCAAAGCACAAATTGCAAAGCAACAGGCGTGAACACGAGGAAGCGTCGCCATGCGTCTCTTAGCTGTGATCGACTAACACTGCACATGTCACGTGACGAATCGATTCCCCCCCTCTAAATTTAGCAGGGAAACTGGATTGGTGTTTATGTCACAAGACGTGAAATTTACTGCTAAATTTAGCGGGCAACTGAATTGGTGTATTGTAGGTCACGTGACGCCAATTTCCCGCTAAATTTAGCGGGGAAACTGAATTGATCTTTCGGCCATAACACATGAATTTTCCTGCTAAATTTAGTGGGGAAACTGAGTTGACGTGGTAGGTCACGTGCCATCGATTTCCCCAAGGTGTATAGTTCACGTGACGCCACTTTCACCGCTAAATTTAGCGAAAAATGCACGAACGGACGAGCGGACGGACGAAATTTTGAGGTTGGGGATATCGTTAAAAAGTATTTCATGCGTTAATACGTTGCCCGTTGTGGTAACGGTCAAACGAGGCGGCGGCCGATTACCGGCCCGAGCCCGCCAGTAATGACGCAGTAGTCTCCCACTGGTTTGTGCCTCCTCTGCTCAAGCAGGTGTTTTTTTGTTTTTTTTGTTTTTATCTCGCAGCGATAATGTCTTATGTACACATGATAAAAAAATGTAACAACGTAAACAGAATAGAAACCAAAACAAGAAGGTTGCCAGGCTAGACACAACCCCCCCCCCCCCCCCCCCCCCCCACCCAAATCATCCCCCCTCAAAAACATAAAAACCTATTGGGAGGAATGTTTATTTTACAACATAATCTTTGTACAAGTCCGGTTGTGTTCATTCTTTGGTTGATATCCGCGGTAGCTGCTGACTTTGATAATCCTCCACCAGTTGCGGTGAAGGTTAGTCTTCATCTCCTGGAGGCACCTCGAGCTGCTCCGCAGCTGCGTTAACTTCTTGGGTTGCTGAGGCATTGCATTTTCTCGACGCACTTGTAGAGGGAGATGCCACTGGCTGCAGATCACTATGGGAACGACTTGCAGGGGCATGTGCATGGTAGGCTTGACAACTTCGAAGCGCTCCACCTGTGGTGATATACGAGAACAAAAGAATAGGGCCCTTCCGTGCTATGATTTTTAAAGGCTTATAATAGAAGAGATCACCATTCTTGGAATGATGGGCTTCTTCACTCTCACAAAGACACCTGGACGAAGCTTGGGAGTTTTCGCACCTCTTTTCCTTTCTGTGTACTCTCTGGTGAATGTCTACTTATTTTTTACCCGTTCCCGTAGCTTGACCATCTCTGGAACAAGGTTGACGAAAAACCCTGGGCTAGGCATCCCAACGATGTCAAGCATGATCGGTGGGGCTGGACCGTGCAGCTGTAAAGCTGGGGAAACTCTCGTCGTGGCATTGCAGGGGGGTTGGGGGGGGGGGGGGAGGTGCTGCAATATACTGCAAGGTACTCCAAGACAGCGTTCTCAAGAGGTCTGTGTTCCGACACGACAAGTTGAACGAAGTCTTTCAGTACCCTGTTGAAACGCTGAATTTGCCCTTTACTTTGCGCATGGTAGATAGACGAACAGGAGTGCTTGATTCCTCGCTGCCGAAGAAAATCTTCAAAGACGGCAGATGTAAGCTGAGGTACATGATCTGTCAGAAGTTCATCAGGGTATCCTTCACAACTGAAGACAGCAGTCAGGAACTTCACAGCCTCGGAGGTCACGTTCGAGACGACGCACAACTCAGGCCACTTAGAGCAGAGTCAATTAAGGTGATGGGAAACTTAGAACCTTCCTTTGCCCTCGCAAAGGGGCAGAAAATAACCAAGGCCAATTTTCGCCAAGCCCGTTCAGGAAGTGGAATTGGCTGTGGAGGTGCCACCGAAGGTTTGGCAGACTTGTCACATGCCTGATAAACGCTGCAAGAGTGGATAGCTTGCTCCACTTGCTTGTCAAGTCCCGGTCACCAGTACTGGTTCCATAGCCTTTGCTTAATTGGTTCGAACGATGCCGGTATGACCCTCGTGTGCTGCGTCCAGTAACGTTGATGCCAGCAAGACAGGGATGACCAACCGCTCGTCGCACAGCAGCAGGTTCTCCACGAACGCAAGGTCGTCCCGGACATTGAAGAACGGTAGTAGTCAGAGTCGCGTCTGCGCTTGGAAGGCCACCGAGTCGTGACGTATGACACCACACGCTGGAGCACGGGGTCGGCCTGGCCAGCTTCCTGCAGCTGCTGTTCGTCACGCAGGAGGTCACAAGAGACAAAGTGCCCTCATCTAATTCTTGAAGTCCAGGTAAAGGAAGTAGAATTCCTTCTTCTAGTTAACTATTCGGGCTAAATTTGGTTTCACTCTAAGCCGGAACGCAGACAAATGCTGCAAGATATTCTATCACAAACGCGCAAACTAAACGCACAATATCACCGCGCATTCACTTCATATGCCTGATTTGCTTAGCCGCCAGCAACACACACGCACTGAGATACAACGAATGGGGTGATGTAGCCCTTTTGGCTTCGTTTGATTGTCTCTATTGGCCCGTAGCGCCGGTTGAACTCGTAGGGCGAAACAAGATATAGCTCAAGGCATTCAGCTCCTTTCTAATGGCGCTTGTTCCGTCAAGAAAACGCCATTAGAATTCAAAACTCATCTACGGTACTGAAGGGTGGAAAAAGCCCGTGATCGGTAGCGGCAGGACAACACAAGTAGATGGTATACATTTTTTCAAACATACGCTTAGGCCCAAATAGCCTCATGAATATACATTACACAGCGTTCACAAGCTGCGTATCGTGCGTACGGAGCACATACATTTCGTCTCAGTTGCAGTCCGGTTGGCGTCGTCTATAATGACGCGATATTTCTTCTGAACTACGACCGGAGCTTGCTTTTTTTCCTCGCAAGACTCGAAGCTAGTTTTCTGTGTTTACTTATATTCCGCTGGAAAGACTGCTTTGGGTTATAAACGGTTCTCTCATCCAATAGTGCTAGATTTTATAAGACCCGTGACAGAACCCCCCCCCCCCCCTTCCCCAGGATGAAAGAAGAGTGAGTCAAGACAAAAAATAACAAATAAACGACGGAAATCAAATTTTGCTCCCAAGACGAGGCGTGGTAGAACTTGAGAGCTCGTTTCTGCTCGTCAATTCATGAAAAGAGTTTGTCTTTCTAAAAGAAAAAAAAAAAAAACGAACAGTAAATTATGGCAATTGACGTTGACGACAGGCAAAGATACGGTAGCAGGCGGCATAACGAACAACTAGAAACCAATACACAAAAAGCTAACAAAGGAACGAACATTTTGTTTTCGGTGTAACAAATAAGAGCCAGAGCAGTTCCGTGTCAAATATTGTCTTCTTCTTGTGTAGCTGTTTAGGTCTAGTCTCATTTACGGCCTCTCAGCTCTCATAAATGCCAAAAATAAGTCGTGCTCAACAGAAAGAGAAGAACCTACGCGCAGGCGGTGTTTAAAAAGGATCAGTCAGCCTAATTAAATTTGCGCAAGACCGTGCAGCACAAAACCTCTACTCAGCAACTCGCATCTCGTCGTGTTTTTTTTTTTTTTTGTCCATTGACGTAATAGTGGTTATATCTGCCGAATATTGTCACATATTAGTCCACGTTTGGATCTGCCAAATAGCGCCATATACACACTTTTAGATTTGACGGATAGTGTAACATGGTAGCACACGTTTTGATCCGCCGGATAGTGCCACATTATTGCACACGTTTGAATTATCTGGATAGTATCACATGGTAGCACTAATTTGGATCGGCCGGAAAGTGTCACGTGATAGTACATATTTCGATTTGCCGGATAGTGTCACATGATGACACTCGTTTTGTTCTGCCGGATTGTGCCACATTATTACACATGTTTGGACTTTCCGGGTAGTGTTATGCGTTAGCACACGCTTGGATCGGCCGGCAAGGGTCACGTGATAGGATATGTTTGAATCTGCCGGATCACTAGTGTCATGATAGCCCACGTTTTGATCCGCCGGATAGTGCGACATTATTGTACCCGTTCGGATTTTCCGGTTAGTGTCAAGTGGTAGCACACGTTTGGATCGGGCGGACAGTGCCACGTGATAGCAAACACGTTTGAATCTGCCGGATAGTGTCACATGATGGCACACGATTGGCCATGTGTCTTGCACGTAACCAATTCAGAAGCCCGTTTTAAATCATATTAGGGGAAAAATATAACGTGTAAGTGCACGCATTGCAATTTATTCTCTTTCGTTCATTACAGGAACAACGATTTTTTCAGAAAAATTAACCGAGCTTTAGTGGATGGGGTTGGCAGTTTCTAGTGACATCAAAGGTGGGAGCGTTAATTTTCAAAACAAAGTATACCTGAGATTTTTTACGCTATTGTAGCGGGAACGAAGCATTAAAAACTTTAAAACACTTAGACTACGTGTCCTGCCTATACATAAAACATCGCTGCGTATATCTAACCTATTATTAAAACAGACGGTGCAGAAAACGCTCAAACCTAACTATATTACTTGCTTCTTGTCATTCACAAAGCAGTCTTTCTGATAATTTCATTCTCGGCGTACCTAACAGAAAAGTATATATGAAGAATATTTTCTCTCTATGTTGGTTAAAGGGCTACTGCGGTCGAAAGTGAAACCAAAATAAATTACTGGTATCGCTTTAGTAGTAGGAAATATGACCGCAGCCGAAATATTACGTGAAACGGAAGCTTAGCGGGCGGCTTGCGGTCGTCTCTAGCGGGCGGCAAGCGGGTTAGCTTTTTGTCAAGTAACACCGGCGCAGCACCCTTGTGACGTCATGTCGCGGTAGAAATGCGGTTGATTGGCTGTAATTCTGCATAGGCTGAAAAGACCGTTCGAAAGAGGAAGTAACGAGAAAGGTAAGATCATTGCTAACAAAACATGATTTCAGTTTCAAGAAAAACGAGCAGTATCTAACAATATGTGAGAGCACTGCACAGTAAATTTATTTTACAATCTCTTTTAAATTGGGATATTGATACATCAAATTTTAATTCGAGTACGTCACGATTCAAAGTTGTAGCAGTCTGGAAGGCTAAAGTTTGCCGTTCGTAATTTGTTCGTATTATAGGTACTTTACGTTTCGGTCGTCGAATATCGTACACTGGTGTTAGTTCTGGCGTTAAGTAACTTCTGTTTCTGTGGATTAATTGAAGCAATTTAAAGTAATATATTTGAATTGCCCGAAGCATGTGGTGTTTTAAAAACAGCGGTTCCGTACGTAGATTCCTGTAATCCCCCTTGTAGTCCTCGAGCATACGTAAAATTCTTTTTTGCAGGTCTATTAATTTATTATAGTTTGGGGCCGTTGTTGTCCCCCAGACGAAGATTGCGCAGCTTAGTTTTGAATGAAACAAAGAGTGATACATATTTTTAAGCAGCCAACACGGGAGAAACTGTTCGCTGATAGTTTGGAGTTGGGCCTGCGATGGTTGAGCATGGCCCGGCGGTCGATGAGGTACTCCGCAGGCGATGAAAGCTCGGCGAGTTAGAGTTTCAACTGTTTATTTACAGTTACAAACTATGTACAGTGGCTATGTACAAAGTAGGGGATTGACATTTTGGGGCAGGATGCCTCAAACAACTCCCGAAGTTCCGTCAAAATCAGCTCCTCTCGCTCGGGCAACGGCCTTTGAGGACCCTCACCTCCTCTCTCTCGGGCATCGGTCAACCAATAGTTTTAAAACCCGTGAAAGGCACGTGGTGTCCATTGCCCAATGATCAGCCGGGGTCGTCACAGGCATTCGTCAAGTTCGCAACGGCCCTTGGCTGACAGCTCCGTAGAGTCGCCCACGCAAGCGGTCGCAGACAGACCGGCGCCGGTTCCGAACGTCTCGCAGTTTCCCCAGTGCTTTGGGTTGCCGCCAGGACGGCGCCGTCAGCGGGTCCCTCGGGGTGGAACCCGACCCGGCCCGGCGAGGCCGACATGCGGCGGACGCCTACGACACAAAAACACAGACACCCCCCGGCCCCGAAAGCAACAGACCCCCGCAGGGGGAACAACCTACTGTCCCCCAAGACGCTAGCACGGGCGGGCCTGCGACCCTAACCAAAACCCCGTAAACAAAACGGTTTTAGGGCAAAGAAAGACCCCGATGCCCTCCCCCGGCGGCCACGGCGGTGGCGTGACCGCAAGCGCCTGCCCGCAAAGAAAAAAGGGGGCCGCCACAGCTTCCTTACACCTTCCCCCCAAGACTGTTCCTGGTCCTTCTTGGACCTGCTAACAGTTATTTAAAAAAAAAAAGCATGGGAAACCTAAAGGAGCCCGACACAAGTGAGTTCATAACGTGCAGACAGCACACCGGACTAACCTTGCGGTCACGGTGTTCGATAAACATGTAAAACAAACAAAAATCGCTACCATTTTCAACCGCGACAAAAACTACGAATGCGGATGACGTGGAGCAATGCCCTTCATACAACAACCATACTCTCAGTGGTGGGAAAGCTAACAAAACGGATACACAGAATATAGTTTTCACTTCCTACTTCTAAGTGCGCTTGAATAGAAACGTGGTAAACGGTCACATCAATGAAAGCACAAACACACCCGCGAACGCTTCCGCGGTCGCCTAGCATTGGGAGGCCCGGCTCCTCTCGTCACCCAGTCCGGAAGGGCGGCTGGCCGCGTCGCAGGGCCCCCAGCATCGGTTTGATATTCTGGACAGAGCGTCCGCGTTCCCGTGTCTAACACCCTTCCTGTGTACGACCTTGACGTCGTACCTCTGGAGGGCTAGAGCCCACCTGGTTAGTTTGGCACCGTGAGGGACGCTCAGGGTGAGGAACGACAGAGGGTTGTGATCGGAGACCACAGTCACGGAAGCGCCGAATAGCCAAACGTCGAACTTCTTTAGACCCCAGATCACCCCGAATGCTTCTCGCTCGATTGTGGACCACCGCGTCTGAGTGGGTGTAAAGCGGTGACTGGCGAACGCAATCGGCTTCTCCTGCCCACCCTCTCCCATTTGGGCCAAACAGGCCCCCACCGCGATGGCCGAGGCATCGGTGTACAGCCAGTAAGGCTTTTCCGGATCGGGCGTGTAGAGCGCCACCGCGTCGCACAGCGCCTTCTTCAAAGCCACAAATGCCCTGTCGGCGTCATCGTTCCACGGCAGCTTGGACGGCACCTTTTTACTAGTTAGTTCGGTGAGTGGTCTCGCAGTCTCGGCATAGTTTGCGATGTAGTCCCTATAATATCCGCATAGGCCCAGCGCGCTACGCAGCTCCCGCTTAGTGGTAGGAACCCGCAAACCCTCGATCGCTGCCAGCTTCGTCGGGTCTGGCGCGTGTTTTCCAGACCCCACCACGTGTCCAAGGTACCTAATCTCGGGCAGCGCCACTTGGCACTTTTCGATATTGGCCGAAAGTCCTACTTTCTCCAGTGCTGTGAAGACAGCTTCCAGGTGCCTCGCGTGCTCGGGGAGTGTCCCACTAAACACCGCGATATCGTCAAGGTACGCGCAGGAATAGCGCTGGTGCTCGCAAAGAACTGAGTTCATGATACGCTGGAAGGTCGCAGCTGCGTTCTTCAGGCCGAAAGGCATGACGCGCCAGGCGAACTGCCCCCGATGGGACACAAACGCCGTGGCGAGCTGAGACTCCTCCGCCAACGGCACCTGCCAGTAGCCCCTCCGAAGGTCGATAAGTGTGACAAAGTTTGCTCTACCGACGCGCATGATGAGATCGTGCGGGAACTGCATCGGAAAAGCGTCTGTCTCCGTCGCCGAGTTAAGCTGCCGATAGTCTACACAGAGACGCACCGAGCCATCCTTTTTCGCCACGCACACGACGGGATGAGCGAAGGGGCTCTCGCATTCGTAGATCAGGCCCGTCTGGAGCAGCTCGTCAATTTGGCGCCCGACCTCCCCCCGTAACATTTCGGGAATGCGGTAAGGGTGGGCCCGCTTCGGCACGTACCCCGGGTCCAGCCTAATGTGGTGTTCTCCCACTTCTGCGATCCCTGTGTTGGGCGAGAAGAGCGCGTGATGCCTGTCGAACACCGCCCGAACGAGCCGCCTGTCATCCCCCAGATGAGCCACGTACGACTCCGGCAGTCGCATCGCAGGACAGATGCTCATGCTTCGCGGGGTGCACTCTATATCTCCGAAGTCGCCATCTTCCTGGAATACAACACCAATGCTCTGAACGCGACAGGTGTAGGGCCGCAGCTTGTTGGCATGCACCAGTCTGTGCTTACCGTCCGGCATGTCCACGTAGTACGACTGGTCTCGAAATTTCGCTCGGACGTCGCACGGCCCTATCCATTTCGGATACATCTTACCCGGTCGGTCCGAGTCGAACACTAACACCTTTTCGCCCACCCCAAACGCCTTCGGGGAGGCCCGTTTGTTATGCTGCGTCGCATACGCGTTCTGCCGGGCCGGCGCCGTCAGCTCGGCCTCCTCTGCGGCGCGCTCGATTTGACCCTTTAGGTTCCGCAGGTACTCTGCAGGTGACTCCCTTAGTGTTACCGGGATCGGAATGTCGCCCGTCCAAGACTGCTGCAACACTGTCAACGGGCCAGTGGGGCTTCGGCCGTACAGCATCTGGAAGGGCGACACACCAGTTGTGTCGTGCGGCACCTCACGGTACGCCCACAGCAGGAAAGGTACGAACCTGTCCCAGCCACGGCCCTCCTTTTCGATGACATGGAACAGCATGTTTTTAAACACCCTGTTCCAGCGCTCGACGGCGCCGTTGCTCTCGGGGTGGTCAGGTGTCGAAAACCGAGGGCTGCAGCCGAGGCGAGCGAGAAACTCTCTCGTGAGCTGGGCCGTAAAGTTAGTGCCACAGTCGGAACATATGACGCTTGGTATTCCTGTCCTGCTGAAGATGGTCAACAGCGCCTCGCAGGTTGCCTTCGCCGACAGCGACCGCAAGCACACCACTTCTGGCCAGCGTGTGCACAAGTCAATAACGCAAAGCGCGTACCTGTGGCCTCTAGCTGACGGCGTGTCAAGTGGTCCGATTACGTCGATGTTTACCGTTTGGAAAGGAAACTCGGGTCTCGTCAGTGGGGTGATAGGAACGCGGTCTGTCTGCCTCAGGTCGGATCTAACCTGGCAACCATGGCAGCTCGAGCAGTGCTCCCTAATGTCCCTCTCTATCCCCGGCCAGTAGAAAGCGTACTTGACCCGCGCTTTCGTCTTTCTGAAACCCAGATGTCCGCCCCAGCATGACTCATGTGCCAATCCCATCACCTCGGGTCTCCGCTGAGCCGGCAGTACCAACTGGTGGACGTTTTGCCCCAACAACCTGTCCCGATGAAAGAGCAACCCGTCTTTAATCAGCATGCCGCTCCGTTTCCTGCGCCCGTTTTCCCAGGCCTCTTTCAGAGTAGGGTCTTTTAGCTGCTGCTCTCGGAACTTTGATCGCTCCGAGAGCCCGTCATCTGTTTCGACCTCCGCTGCGTCCGAAGGACTCGATTCCCTACGGGCGTTGCTGGCGCCCTCTTCCTCGCAAGTCTGGACACTGGTCTCCAACCCCTCTACGGACTCCGGCGGAGGAGTGGACGTCGCGAGCTGTTCTGTTTCCCCCGCCGCGACGGCCGCGATTGCTCCGATCGGTGCGTTCGAGCTTTCCGATTTTTGCAGCAGCTCCCACGCTTCTCCGGAAAGCAGGCAATCGGTCCGCGAAATAAGTCGGTCGGTCAGCGCACAAAGAGTCGGCACCGCCTCGTGAACGTCGGCGAGGACCGAATTCAAGCTGTGCATAGTCAACGGCAACACTACCAGACGCGCCTCCACCGACTCTCCGAAAGCAGATTTGAGCTGAATCTTCCCGGAAGGGCTCCTCAACTCCTCAGGGACCAGAGACTCCCTTACCACGGTTATATCTGCCCCTGTGTCGACAATAGCGTTGAGCATGCGTCCTCCACAAGCTAGTCTGGTGTTCACGAGACCGCTGGGCGGCAACGAGTGCGGCTCCCTGACGACCCGGGCGGTGAGTCTGTCGCCTTCTGATGGAACATCGCCCTTGCCGTTTGCGCGCCCGCTCCCAGCGTGCGGACAATTCGCCCTCTGGTGGCCCAAAGAGCCGCAGCCGAAGCAACCCCTTCGCCGATCTGAGTTTGGCCCCCCGGCCGGCCCTCTCGTGAATTTCGTCGACCCGAATGTGCTCCCGGACTTCGTTTTTCCCTCGTCTCGAGGGCTCGATTGTTGGACCTTTGCGTCGACCTTTTTCGAGGCGGCTCCCCTACCTTCGGCCTGCTCAAATACCCTCATCAATTTGGCCAGCTCATGCGCCCTGTGCCAGTTCGTGTCCTCTTTTAGAGTGACGTAGCTCAGCGCTTCAGGCGTCATTCTGGCCTTTACCTGGTCGGCTACTAAAAGGTCGATCAGGTCGTCCTTGGTCTTAATTTCCCTCGCTTCCACATAGAAGTGGAGATAGCTTCGCAGCCGTGTAGCAAACGGCATCCACGCCTCCTCTTTTCCTTTGGCGGCGCTAAGAAAACGCTTTAGATACTCCCCGGGCGCGAGCTGCAACTCCTCGAGAACGGTATCTTTTACCCGATCATAATCGTTGAGCTCGGCCGCGGAGAGCCGGGTAGCTAGGTACCTTACTCGCTCCACCACATGCGGGAACACTAGCTGGCCCCATATAGCCCTTGGCACGCCATACGTCTCGAAGGTAGTCTCCACAGCCTCGAACCACACAGGTACCTCGGCCTCAGATGGGAATCTCCGTATGACTCCGGACAAAATTTTGCTGAAATGTTTCAGATCGTTTTGCGTTTCTCGTTCGCCCGTCATCGCTGGTCTGCCCTCTGCTGCGCGGTGCACGCCCAATCTAGCGAGCTCTAGCTCTATCTCGAGTGCCCTTGTGCGCTCTTTTGCCTCTTCCAACCTGAGCTCGCTTTCGCGCTCGCTCGGCGGCGTCCGCGACGACGTGCTCGTTCCACTTCCCCCGCCGCCCCGTCGACGCTCATCGCCCCTCCGGTGCGTTTGTTCGGGTTAAGATGCCGAAACCTCGTTATCATACGACTGGCCTGGCCTGCGACTCGACCGCTCCCTCCCCAAAAGGGAAACAAGAAAGAGCTCACAACTTCTGCAGGTCCGCGTGGGGTCCGTGCTGCTGCAGCTCTTCCACCAGTCGTCCTTGTCGCTGGCTTTGATCGCCCGGTCGGGAACGAACTTGACTGCGCTGGTCCAGCTGTTCACCCGACGAACGGCTTGCCTTGGGTCGCGGGCAGGACTCCTCTGGTCCTGGCCACCGGCTTCTGGCTCGGTTACCCGGCTTGCCGCTCCGTTGATCGTACGCCGTCGTTGGTTCTCGGCAGACACTCAGGCTGCCGCCTGGAGGTTCCCCTGCCGTGGCTTCCCTCGGGACAGAGTCGGGGCTCCGCTGGTCCCGGCTGCTGGTCGTGGTTGCTCTGGCTCCCAGGGTTGCCAGAAGCTCAGCACTTGGCTGCGTTGTCTTGACTCACTTTGAGCACTTTCCTTGATCTTCAATCGCCGACGAAGTTCTCTAAAGACCGCCCTGTCGACTGCGCCAGAAACTGTTCGCTGATAGTTTGGAGTTGGGCCTGCGATGGTTGAGCATGGCCCGGCGGTCGATGAGGTACTCCGCAGGCGATGAAAGCTCGGCGAGTTAGAGTTTCAACTGTTTATTTACAGTTACAAACTATGTACAGTGGCTATGTACAAAGTAGGGGATTGACATTTTGGGGCAGGATGCCTCAAACAACTCCCGAAGTTCCGTCAAAATCAGCTCCTCTCGCTCGGGCAACGGCCTTTGAGGACCCTCACCTCCTCTCTCTCGGGCATCGGTCAACCAATAGTTTTAAAACCCGTGAAAGGCACGTGGTGTCCATTGCCCAATGATCAGCCGGGGTCGTCACAGGCATTCGTCAAGTTCGCAACGGCCCTTGGCTGACAGCTCCGTAGAGTCGCCCACGCAAGCGGTCGCAGACAGACCGGCGCCGGTTCCGAACGTCTCGCAGTTTCCCCAGTGCTTTGGGTTGCCGCCAGGACGGCGCCGTCAGCGGGTCCCTCGGGGTGGAACCCGACCCGGCCCGGCGAGGCCGACATGCGGCGGACGCCTACGACACAAAAACACAGACACCCCCCGGCCCCGAAAGCAACAGACCCCCGCAGGGGGAACAACCTACTGTCCCCCAAGACGCTAGCACGGGCGGGCCTGCGACCCTAACCAAAACCCCGTAAACAAAACGGTTTTAGGGCAAAGAAAGACCCCGATGCCCTCCCCCGGCGGCCACGGCGGTGGCGTGACCGCAAGCGCCTGCCCGCAAAGAAAAAAGGGGGCCGCCACAGCTTCCTTACAACGGGATAAAATTTCTTTATACAAAGTGCCTATAATTCTAGACAGGTCACCTTTTAACTTGGTAACATCGCAGTGCTGACGATAAGAAGGTTGAGCGACTGCATGCTTTCGAAACGTAAGTTTCTTTAACTGCATGGGGAAGCCAGCTTCGGAAATAAATACAGTTGGCGGAAAGCTCGTGTTACGTTTTTATTTGCTGCCCCTCTCGCTCCGTACAATAGACTTCGTGTTCACGTTAAGCCTCATTCAGCTCGATTTGCTCGATTCGTGGCCGCCATAATGAGATGCAGGCGACGGAGGAACTTTTGCTCCCCTGCTTTAGGGACGAAAGTTTCTCCCTTTCTGAAGGAACATATGTGTCATGAGCGTTCCTCCCTTCAGGGAGGACTATACTGACCCTTTTTTCTAATAGTCCGGGATACAGGCTGCTGCCTGACGACAAGAAGGCGGAACTGTTCCTTCATGCCGCAGGACAGGAAGCGCTGGAAACCTACAACACCTTTGAATTTTCTGAAGAAGAGGAAAGGGAAGCATGCAGTACGCTAGTGAAGAAGTTTGAAGATTACTGCATCCCAAGGAAGACTGCAACGTTCGAAAGGTACGTCTTCAGAACGAGGCAGCAAAGTCAAGGTGAGCCGTTTGAGCAATTTCTTCGCGACGTGAAGACGAAAGCGCACTTCTGCAATTTCGGAGTCGTCATGGACTTAATGATAAGATATCAGATTGTCTATGGAATTCTAAATAAGAAACTCTTTTCAAGAACGTGAAATCGACTTGACATTAGAGAAAACAGTCCAGGTCTGCAAGGTAGCGGAGGTGGCCAAGCACCAAAACTGAACCCGGGAAGGAGACCAGAAAACAACACTCGATACTGAAAAAAAAGTAAAAGCCGTTTACAACTCCCTGTAACACCGAATTAGAGCGCAGCTCTTGAGGAGGAGGGAAGTGTACTGGGAGGGGGGGGTGAAGTGACCTGGGGGGGGGGTCACGTGACGATGCCGATGATGTCATCAGTGACGTCACTGATGACGTCATCAGTGACGATGACGATGCGGACTCCGATGACGTCATCAGCGATGATGACGATGACGATGCGGATGTCGGTAACATCATCAGTGACGTCACTGATGACGTCATCCGTGATCACGATGACGATGACGATGCGGATGCCGGTGACGTCATCAGTGACGTCACTGATGACGTCATCAGTGATGATCACGATGACGATGCGGATGCCGGTGAGGTCATCAGTGACGCCACTGATGACGTCATCAGTGATGATGACGATGACGATGCGGATGCCGGTGACATCATCAGTGACGATGACGTCATCGGGGAGGTCACGTGACCTCGGCGGGGGGGGGGGGGTCACGTGACCCTGGGGGGTGGTCACGTGACCTCGGGGGTGTCACGTGACTTCGGGGGGGGGGGTCACGTGACCTCGGGGGGGGGGGGGGTCACGTGACCTTGGGGTCACGTGACCCTGAGGGAGGGGTCACGTGACCTCTGGGGGTCACGTGACCTTGGGGTGACCTTGGGATGACCTTGGGGGTCGCGTGACCTTGGGGTGACCATGGTTACGCCGACGCCAATGGCGACGCCGACGCCGCTCAAGCCGGGAACGGGCCCCTAAGAGCTGCGCTCTAAAAAGAAGTTGCGCCGGCCGGCACCATCAAAATGCACGCTTTTCAATCTTATGCACGTGAACCGATTCTGCCCTGCTTTTGGCAAAGTATGCCTTAGGTGCGGAAAAAAGGAACCACTTTGCAGTTCGCTGTCCTCTTAAGCCAAGTTCAAGGGACGAGCACAGTTGCTGCATCGACAAGCAGCAAGGAAGAACCGAGGAGGAGCGAGACAGGAATTCATCGCGCCAGGACAGTCAACAACCAGGAACGACAGTTACGTGCTCTGCGAACCAAACAACGACTGCGACAGCAGCAAAACACTACGTTGCAGTATCCCGAACAGCAACTCCTCCGACGACTTTGAAATCTTGAATGAAAGTGTCTTCTTAGCAAAGAGCCGTCAAGGTTAGAAAATCACCGGATCCGTGGTTCCAGGCACCGGATCGCGTTCAGACGCCCAGCTTAATATGGACACCGGCTCCCAGGCGAACCTTATTTCGTATTCGCTTTACCAGAAGCTCTCACGGACGAATAAGCTTCGCCCAATGTGCGCGACATTACCAAGCTACGACGAAGGCGTTATAAAATACCTGGGAATTTCGACAATGCGAATGAAGATAAATGGCAAAGAAGAATCTGAAGATTTTTGTTTGTTGTGAAAAATAAACTCCAAGCAATTCTTGTGTTACAAGCATCGGAGGGTTTCAGACTGGTCACTCGCGTCGAAGCAGCGGAAACGGAGAACAACTACGTACCCCAAGAATTTGCAAGCGTCTTCTCCGGTCCTGGTTGCGTGGGTCGTCGCTGCCACATGATTCTTCAAGAAACTGCTCAACCGAGCGTGCAGCCGGCCCGGCGTGTAGCTCTAGCCCTACGCGAACCTCTAAAAGACGAACTTCAAGGGATGGTAAACACGGCCTTGTCAAGAAAGTCGACTCACAAACAGATTGGGTAAGTTCGTTGGTTATAGTAAAGAAGAAAAAGGGAACTTTAAGGTTGTGCCTAGACCCTCAATGCATTTATGCACAGTTAAAAAGAGAACATTATAAATTTCCTCGACGGGAGGATATTGAGTCCGAGCTGGAACGAGCTAAATTTTTCACAACATTAGATGCGGAGGCAGGGTTCCACCAAATTCTCTTGGATGAGGACACGTCAGATATATGTACGTTCAGAACACCATTCGAATGGTGCAAATTCCTAAGGTTGCCCTTTCTCATTGCATTCACACGAGAGATATTTCAGAAGACTAAATTAAACGTTTGGAGGGCTGCCCGGGGCTAAATTTACATAGAAGACACCCTAATTCGGGGATGGTCTAAAGAAGAGCACCACGTGCATCTACAAATGATATTGCAGAGCCGAAAACCAATCCTACTCACTGCCGACAATGGTCCGCAGTTATCCTCTCACGAATTCGAAGCTTTCGCATCTTTCCATGACTTCGAACACAACCATCTGTCCCAGATTACCACGCTCAAACGGTCTTGGTTTTTTTTTAAAGAAGGCCGATTCAGTTGCTGAAAAGAAGTGGCTAGGGCTCCTCAATTATAGATCAAACCTCTTGAGATTGATCGGCCACCGAGTGAACTATTTATGAACAGAAATTTAAGATGGAGGTTGCCAACCTTCTCTTGTATGAAAAAAAAAAACACGTTATAAAAAAAAGAACATCAACAGCTAAGCAGCGGAACACCTCTAAGTGGACTTTACCCTGCTGACAGTGTAAGGAGCAAGCATGCCGGAACGTGGAGGTTAGAAGCGAAGGTGGTTTGTAAGGTTGCACTTCGTTCTTTTGAGATCTTAACCGAAAAAAAAGAATCGTATATTTCGCAGGAACAGGC